CTCCGAAGTGGAAATTCCATGCCATTATTGGTGTACACTCAGTATATATCCCACTTGTATCAAGAGCCATACATCATGCTTCAATTAGCTCTACCGGATCATTTGCCTGCCCCGTCTCCTCCAAAAAATTAGTAACTGTAAACAAGTTACTACAGCTATGCAGGATAGGCTGGTACCGTCAATGCTGAATGTCGGCCAAGAACTCCTCCAAGGATGGAGGTTGCCAGGTAGGTTGCGGGGGTGATGGCTTTGGCGGTCGCTGTAGAGGCAATAGCTGTGGAGGAGATTGAGCTACAGTAATAGCTATATTGATAGTAGAAGCTATCAATGATTGAGATAAAGTTGGTGATGCTATAGGAGCGGGACCAGTAATTGCAGGAATCGGTGTGGAAATCGAAGTTGTTACAGTATTTGTCGCTAATATAGATATAGGAACTGATACTGTAATTGAGGTATTAAGCCCTTGTAAGACCTCAGCAAGTGTCTGGCCCTGGTGTTGAGGAAACGAGGGTGGTACAAGTCGTTTAAAGGCAGATGGATCTAGGCGGGTCGAGCTCTCATTTCTCCGTGGTGCACCTCTTGTCTGTGTAGGGAGCGGCTCCTGGATAGACTGATACAGCCTTCACCAAGGCTGTATAGATAGTCCTTGCTCTTGTTGATAGTGCCAATGATTATTAATATTAGTTAGTGCTATAGTTGAGTTGGAGCGTATTTGTCACGTACGGCGTGACAACGGCGTGGCACAGGCGCCACGACAGCACAGGGATCACGAGAACAACACATACTTGCAGACGCCTCGAGCTTGACAACGTATAGCCGGTGCGGTAGTAAGGTACATGTGACTACTTTGCACCTGTGTATTTAAGGCAGCAGAGTCTACATCAAGCTCTTCAGAAGAAGCTATTGACGCACAAATTGAAGCACTCCGAGCAGAAAACACAAGGCTCGAAAAGGTTAAAGAGCTAAAGCGACTCCAGACCTTGAACCAAGCGCTGCAAAGTAGCGTCGAGTCCGAAGCCCTAAGTCGTACCCGGAGCTGCAGACCTTTCTCGGGTTTTGTAACTTCTATCGACGGTTCATCTACGGGTACTCGAAGCTGACTACACCACTTACTAACCTCCTCAAAGGAAGTGTGAACGGTCGGAAAGAGGGTCCTTTCATTTGGGATAGCTAGGAGGAGGAGGCGTTTCGCAAGCTTATCAAGGCCTTCACCATAGCCCTAGCGTTTGCTCATTTCGACCCAGCGAGACGCATCCGTGTCGAAACAGACGCATCCGCGTTTGCGGCAAGCGCAGTACTATAACAGTTGAATGAAGAGACAGGGATATGGCATCCTGTGGCCTTTTGGTCGCGGAAGCTCACACCGGCTGAGCGAAACTACATGACACACGATCAAGAGTTGCTCGCAATTGTGGCGGCATTTAGGCACTGGCGACACTACCTTGAAGGTAACGCACACCCGATCGAGGTGATCACTGATCATCAAAACCTCACGGGCTTCGCCAGGGTCAAGCAGCTGAACGGCCGACAAGCCAGATGGGCTATGGCTCTATCAGCATACGACTTCACGATTTCGCACCGTGCGGGTAAACTTAACCCTGCCGATGCGCCGTCGAGGAGACCAGACTACAATGATGCGGAAAAAGCCGCAAATCTGATGTTACCAACATTGTTCACAAAATTGGCCATAGAGCCAGAGAGAACTGTCGTGGGCGCC